TAAGGATCAAATCTCTTTTGGAGTCTCAACATATTGCTGATATTTGCTATTATTTTACATTTCATTGGCGATTTAAAGCAGTTGAAAGTAGAAAAAAATCATTGTCAGTCTTGAATGAAAGAACTGTATTCTAAGACTGAGCTCTGCCATTTAACAAGGTGACAAAAAGTCTCAGCTTATTTTTATTCCTATTAAGATCTGAAGGCAAGGGAGGACAAATGGGACATCTTAAGAATTACTTTCATAGAGATGTTAGACAAATAAAACAGTTTTTCTACTTGTAGTAAACTAACGGTTGTTGTTGACAGAAACTGAAAAGTAGTGTAGCTTAACATGGCTAACTGACCAAGCTAACCTGTTAGCTACTGAGCACAACTAGCAACAGCGCTACCCAGCTCTCCCCCTTTATGCAATGGTCGTGCAGTTACTTTGCAAAAAAACTTTTTTTCCAGTTTTGTTATCGATCAGGTAAAACTTCATCGGTCATTAGACACGCTAACACTACAGATGCTCCTGACTCGGCACACTAATGCTGCGTGATGTTATTATCGCTGTCTGGGCAACCACAGTGTTTTACATCATGTTGCAACGTTCAGCCAATCATGTAGCGTAATGTCACTGGCATGCGTACGGCCCAAGCAGATCTGGCACCTACAGCGGTTCTAGATAGGGGCCAGCAGGAACAGTGCCCTGGTAGAACTGGTACTAGCCCCTGTTATGGCTTCAGTACCAAATGCATAACAGAATAGATTTATGAAATTGCGTCTGATAAGCACCTTGGAATACACTTTAAAAAAAAAAATCATATTATCTTTATTGATTATTTATCAATGAAATTTTTGCACTTTTAGCCTCAGTCATCTTGAGATGGAATCAGTTTTCTTTTTTCTTTTTTTCTAAATATCCCAGGGCTGCAATTTGGTTTGTGGTTAACTTACGAGGCGGAGCTAGATGGGGGGCCAGGGGTGTCCAAGGCCACCCTTAGCCAATCATTGGCCACCCATGTGGCCACCCTTACCATTTTTTTTCTCTCAGGTAGAATATTGAAAAACATTTTAATTGTATATATATTAACAATTACTTGACAACATTACTTGGTTTATTATGCACATCAATATACCAACATTAGAGATGATTAGTACAAAATTCATGCTCTTTCAGGACTGGATTTTGTGTTATATGCCGTAAAGAGAAAATGATTTGTCTCTGCAAGTCATCTAAGAGTCTTCAGTGAAATCATAGATGCAGTAAATAACTATTTTAATAAGAAAGATATTGATAACAATAGAGTAAGTAATGACATTGGAAAAGATGTTCGCTCCAGAACTCAAACCTCAAAGAATTTTATCCAATATAGCTTTTATCTAGACCAACCAAGCAATACGCACCAGACTCCATCCATCTCATCAATTGAGTGCAATCTGAACATGATGGCATGATGAGATGAATGGAGTCTGGGGTGCTATTGCTTGGTTGGAAAGAAAACCCGCAGCCACATGGCCCTTTCTGGAACTGGTTTGAGACCCCTGATCTATACAGATGTTTAAATATATGCATCTATTTGTTAGCAAAAGGCTGTAGGAACTATAGTTAGTCTTTATTTAGGAATTTGGACGTTGTGCTTGTTCCTGTTGGAACAGTATAGATTGACCCTGAGGTTCTGGTGCCTATCCACTTTTGGCCACCCTTCAGTATACATTTGTTATTGCCTGGCCACCCTTCTGTTCACTTAATACAGGCGTCCCCAAAGTTGGTCCTTGAGGGCCGCTGTCCTGCAGGTTTTAGAGGTTTACATCTCTTAGCACAGCTGATTATGATGATTGAGGTTAAGGAAAAGCCTGTTAATGAGCTTTTAATTAAAATCAGCTGTGCTGGAGGAAGCAAACCTCTAAAACCTGCAGGACAGCGGCCCTCGAGGACCGACTTTGGGGGTGTCCGACTTAATATATCAAATGATAAACTTTTGTCCTACTTTTTTGTTACATTTTTATTTTTTTGGTGCCCCCTAAAAACTTAGTCTAGGACCACCCCTGGTTCTGCTTTTGTAAAAACAAAACTTAGTAACATATGTTTCGTTTTTTTTTTTTTTCTTTTTTTTTTATCGTTTTTATCACTGAAACCTATATCTAACTTCTATTTATCAATTTTTAACTGATAAAAGAGTAAATGGCTTCTATTTCAACTAAATGATTCTCATTGTTGGTTTTTTATGAAAACATCCTTAGTTCACCATTCATATACTTGGAATTCCTTACATTGTAGCAAGAAGATAAATGTATTTATCGACCAAAGGATGCATTATAATTTTGGTTTCTAATTAAACTATACAATTTTTTCTCTTTTTTTTTGTATCTACAATGCATTCATCCCTTAGAGGTGATATATTCGCTTGTAAATTCATGTAGCAAACGCCTTTATTCCAACCTTAATATTAAAGTTGTTGAACTTTTCTGTTTAGTTTTCATGAATAACCCTCTTCCCGTACTAAAACATCCTCCCCTCGAAGATGTGAATGGGAGCAGTGCCGAAGCAATGCCACTCCTTCCAACTAACTGAGGGGCCACCTTTTCTCTTTTTTCTCCTGTCGGCAGCACCAGTGAGCTGGGATGCTGCGCTGCAGACAGAGCCTCAGTTGGCTGCAGCGGTGGAGGCAGACTGTGAGGAAACCAAAACAAACCTCCGTCCGACACCGCGCTCCATGAAGCCCAGCTGATCCCAGAAGAGGAGGAAAGAAAGGCTCAGAAATTGAAATCAGCCGCTTGGTTGCTTCTGTTTCTGGAAGAGATGCGCCTCTTGCGCTGGCAAACCACATAGAGGAGGACCCTGACTTCAGTGGATGTCGGTATTACTGCAAGCATTCCGCTTTTTACGGGGAGATCATCTGTCATCTTTGGACAAAAAAAGGAAAACGCCCACCAAAGGAGGATTTTTTGTCGTTTTTGTGAGTACACAGCTTTACTTTACTTCTATTTGTTGTTTTTTGAGTGCAATTTCTGACCAACTCACAATGCACAAAACAGACAAGTTCTGCTTACATTAATCTAAAAAAATAATCAAATATGAGGAGTTTTCTTCCTCTTTTACGCCTTAAAATCTCATTTTGGCAGCAGTGAATTATGTGCCAGTATTTGCCTGCATGCTGTTTTAGTAACTTCCCTGTATTCACTGAGAGTGATTGAAGAAACAAGCATGTGGGCGATGGAGCTGCTGAGTGTGACAAGATGCACACACTGCAAAGTGTCCAAATTAAACATCTCTTCTATTCATCATGCTTCTATTGAGTTCATATAGTAAAAAAAAAATAATAATATTTAGTTTGAAGCTCAAGTCAAAGGTGAATTCAATAATAAGCCCCTGAACATCTCAGGGATAAAACAGGGGTCTTTGAAATGTACTGTGAACAGAAGTGTGGTTCAGGTCCAGCTGCTTTGAAAACAGCTCAAAGGGATTGATAAAAATATTTTGGGAAAGAGAAGAAAGCTCTGCTCTATTCAGCAGTATGAGGGCAAATCCAGGTCCTTTTGGCATCTTTTGGTTAGCTGAGCAAGCAGCTTTTACCATGTGGAGCCACAGCAACCATCTATTCAGTGATATGTAAATAGTACAAGTTTATTTATTTATTTTGGCTCTTTATAATACTATCATCTGATATTACTGCTGGGTTCTGCTCAGTAGCTTAGGGGCTCACAGTCTGCCTTTTGAGGTTATTGATCTGGCTTTTTATGGATGTTATTAAGCCGTCAATTACCACATTATTCTCTTGATTTTTCAGAGCTTTTTCCTGATATCTCTTTGCAATAATTATTAAAGCGATGGCAGTCAGAATGAAGTTTGTAGAAGGAAAACACAGCCTTTAACATTGTTGTACTGTCAGCAAATCCCCGTGCTGCCGTTGGCACTCTTCATTTCTAATGTAGGTCCACTCAGAAGCATTAGGACAGAGAACTGGACTATTTTAAGCCCCTAAATTAAAGTAACTAAGGATATTACATGCATTAATATCTTATTGATTAACCTTTCGGTGGCTTTGCTCATAGAAACCCTCTAACTTCACGAAGCTCTGAAGATTTCCTGAAAGAATAAGCTTTTATTCAGGGAATAGATGAAGATAACAAAAACAAACAAATGGTCTTTTAAATTTCAGTACGCAAAAAAAAAAAAAGCTTCATTAGAGAAAATATGAGTCAAAATGTGATCAAATTAAATTTCTTGACTAGAACATTTTTTTTTGTGTCATTTTGCTTTAACTACACATCTTCATGGTAGTGTGTAACAGTTTTCAGGCTATGATTGCCTGCATAATTGTGAAGGAACTGTTTCATTCACAAAGATAAGATAACCCTCTGCTGTATTTTTGTTATATATATATATATATATATATATATATATATATATATATATATATATATATAGATAGATAGATAGATAGTCCTGCTTATCATTTTTTAAGATGTGTTTACTATTCCAGCAAAGGCTCTTTACTACTTTTGTTTTCAATGATCTACCTCTGTTGTTTCATATTTTCATATTGTTTTACGTATTATTTATGACGTATTTCAAAATAATTGTGCCTCGATTAGAAATAAAGCCCAAAGTATATCAGAGTAACTACATGTATGTCATGTAGGATGAATTACTTTTTTTAATTACTAACATAAAAAGCCTAGGGTGGGACTTTGTCATTGATGGCTTATGCACTATTAAACTGCAAAGCTACTGCTGCTGATAACTAAAATCCTATTATATGTATAATAATATGATTGAGAATATTTGTTGTTGTTTCTTTTGCGTAGACATAATTTGTTAGGACGTTAAAAGTCAGGTTGATATTGAATGGCTATAAGCAGTATCTTACCTTTGCATATTTGATTATTATAGGTCCATATCCGTTACGTCCAGAAGCTAAAACTAACAGCTCTTGACACAACTCCACAATCAGCATCATCTTAGTGGTTTGTGCAAATGCTGTTTTTTGAACCTCTAAACCATTCTCACTACGGAATTTAGCAGATATGTTTACATATATTATAAAAAGAAGCAACAGGGCGATGTTAAAGCAAAATAGTAAAAAAAAGGATAATAGCAAATGCTTTATATGTGTCTTTCTTAGCATGTGTTTTATACAGGAAGATCAATGAAAGCATCTCCCCCTCTGTCTGCAGTCAACCATCTGAATAGTCATCAGGTTTTAAGGACATTTTGGCCCAGAGCAAAAAAATATAACAATTTGAGGTTTCATATATGGTGTTCTCATAAACTATTAAACTCTGCCTCCCCTGGATTAGCTGTTAGTTTCAGCCTCTGGGAGTAACTATTCCAGATTTATACTCAGTGAAAATGTATAGAAAAAGTTATTATGCTTATTATGTTTTTTTTATTGTCATTGAATTATATATAGCCCTCATTTACCATGAAAAACAATAAAATAAAACCTTAAAATTACTGAAAAGTTGAGTCGAGGTGTAATAATTTGAAATCAGTGTTAATTTGAAGAAACCCATATGCATCAAAAATTAGAATTTTATTTAGATACATTAGGATTTAAGCATTTTTTTTTATTATTTAATAGAGACCTCAGCTTCTGCAGTTTTATGTTCCAATTTCTTCCAATTGATTCCGCAAAATAATTAATATTTCTGAAACCAGACCTTCATAAAATGAATGCTGTTTTTTCCTATATGAATAAAAATTCTCCAAGTACATACCTACTTTGTATAAATAGAAAGGGTATTGTTTTAGAGTGTACATATTAAGAAAAATGAAAACTTCAAGCGAACTTTTAATGAAAAATATTTGTATAGGCATGATGGTCATCTTTCTTAAATATTTCTATTGCTTTATTAGGCAAATAACTACTTAGAACCTTTTTATAGATCCTCTCTTCAATAAAAATTCTGATGGCTTGGACCTGTTGCCAAAAAACAGGGACAGCCCAGCTCCAAAAAATGAGCCAAATGTATCAAACTTTGTTAGACTGCTGATTGATAGAAGCAGGTGGGGGATTGATACAGTATCCCTCTGCTACTCTAAGCTACATACAACCTAGAAAAAATTTCCCCACCAACTCACCCTGTAAATTGCTCTTACCTAAAAATAAGCTCATACGAGCAATATGATGGAAAAGTTTAGAGGTTTTGAAATAACTTTTTCAAACTCTTGGTCCTGGTAACCTGCCTTTGCCTAAATTTTTATAAATATTTATAAATCATTGAAAAAAGAATCCACTTTCCCTATCCTTTAATGATGCTTTAATTGTTGTCTGTTAATATTACAAAGAATCAAATCATATCATGGCTTTATAACTACAGTATACTGCATACTTGTAATGTGAAATGTTTATTTTCCATACCGTTCACATATATTGCTGAGTTTCATTTCCTATGGTAATCTGAGCATAACTTCTCCGACCCAGAGATATAAGATTTGAGTCACCACATGCAGCAAGCAAAGAAAACTCACCTGCGCATCAGGGGAGTTGCTGCAGGAGACGCACAGCTGCACCAATTCCACTTGGCATGTATTTGCGTTTACCCCTGTCCTTATTGGATGTTAATCAGTTATTTGCTTGGGGAGGAGGCTCTAAAATGTTTGTAAATCCACCAGGGGACGGTGTGAGATGAAATGCAAATGATCTGCTCACCTTAATTTAAATGAAATAAATCTTAAATTTGCAGCTGCCTCATCGTTTTAAATGAAAATGTTATTGACATGAGCCCATAGACAGCAATTTAGACTATGGCTAATTGGAAATGACATCTCTGATAGAGGAAACCCTTTGGGACACATGTAGAAAAAAAGCTGGGAGCGGCTTCAGAGAAACAGGCTCACAAAGGTAATAGTTCCCAAGGGATTTTTATGTTGCTGAAAAATATCCACGAGCTATAATAAAGTGAAAATGGACAAAAAATGTCTCACTGACATGTTTGTACTCAACTGGTCCCCCAAGATTGTTGAAAGGAGGGGAAAATGATATCACACCGTGCAGTTGTGCAGCACCCTGTTGGTATTCTTTTACGGTGACTAGACTGAAGGAAAGAAATAAAAGGAAATGGCTGGGCATCATGGAATATGTAAATAACATGCTTTATGTGACCAGAGGATGCAAGGGTGTAATTCTGCTCTCAAAAGCACAACAGTGACTAAGAATGTTTGCCTTGGGAATAGTTCCCTGCTAAAATGCGAGATGACGTGCATTTGTTAGATTAAAGAAATTTCTTATAAGCTGCTTTGGGAATCTTGACAGAGGCAAGAGCTTTTTCTCAGCTGCATTCCCATCAAGCACTTTGTTTGTGAGGGAGGGAGGCCCACTGGTCTGGCAGAGCCTGGAAGACAAACGTCCCTCACGACCCATCTGACAGCTTAATTTATATAATTGCCTTGAAACATCTGCCTAAGAAAGACCGACTTTCGGATCCCCGCTCTCTCTCTGCTTGTCACTGTTATGAATGACTTCAACTTGATGTCCAATGAGTCAAATGGCCAAACTGATGTCCCCCTGCTATGCAACACTAAAAGCATGTACAAACACTACAAAAAACAGCTGATTGGACACCAGCTTTGCATCCTTCCTATACAAAACATGTTCAGCAAGGTGTTTTCATTAAGCAATGCTTGTCAAGGTTCTGAGGTGAGCCTTGTGAGATTGCTGGGCAGCTACTCCACACACCATGCCAAATGTGTGCATCTGTAATGCAGACATGCAATTAGCACCAGTGGAGTGGCAGAATCAGCGTCTGGGCTTTTGCTCCTCAGTTTGCACATTTTCAGAATCTGCTCTAAATTGCTGAAATAATTTGGTGTGGTGAGCTAACATGTGCCACCGCCTCGGGTTGGCTAATTATGCAGCCCCTCTAACTGTTTGCCTTTGTGCTGTCCTCGTTGTGTTAACTTTGAACAAGTCATCTGTAGCTCGCCGCAGGCCTCCCTCGGGTTGCTGTTTAA